AAAACTTTTATATTTTAAAAAATGGAATCAGTGAAAGTTGTAGAGAATGTGTCTATCTGTCCTTGGTAGCAAGGTCAGGGCAGCATGGTTTTCTTGAGTGGGTAGGGGTAAGGGATGTTGTTGGGGTGCCTTGGCTTGAGGTTTGATAGATTTTTAAATATGTTAGAAAAACTTTCAGAGTCATAAATGTCCACACTCGTAGAGTCTGCAGTTGTTGCAGTTTGGCCTGTCTGTGTCCCTCTTGAATTGTTCAGGGCAGGTCTCAGCTTTCATGGTGTTGTATGTCTGCAACTGCAGAGTTTCTCCACACAGGACATGCACCAGGGCCCCACTTAACAATAACCCAACCTCAGTCAGCGTAAAGGCCTTCTTCATATCTCAGCAGTTTTTTTCCTAGCAGTTGGTTTATTTGAATCAGGATCCAAATGAGGGTCTGTTCTCTCCTCAGGCCTCTCTTAGCCTGTAGAAAAAAAACAGCCCAGCAGTCTTCTGCAAGGTCTCTCACTCCTGCCTGCCCCCTCATTGTGAACTGGGTTCTAGAATGAAAGAACAGAGGGTACAGTCTTGTTAGCAAGAATGGACCCAAGATGACCTTTTCTGATATTTCTGGGTGACTTGATGCTTCAGTGAGGCACAGTTGTTGGGGGTTTAGAGGGGTGGCAGCATGACTCCTAGAAAAGTTCTCCATTATCCAATAATTCTATTGTTTAATTAAGGATTGCAGAATGATAACTGTCTTTAATTCCGGCTCTTCCATATTTATTACATGGAGGTTTTTTGTTTGTTTGTTTGTTTGTTTTTTGTTTTTGTCAAGAAGCATTATCTATCATCAGGGAGGAATTTTTTTTTTTTTTTTAATATTACTTGTTCTAGACCACCATGAATGCTGTTATTATTCCTTCCAGGACAAAGAGTGCCCTCAGTGGGCCACAGATGGGTTCTCTTCTTTGAGCAACATTTTAACTTCAGGGATGTGTATTTGGTGTGTTTCAGTTCTTTGTAGTAGTTTGCGTTGATGTTTACATGGTCCTGTCCTCCTTCAGTGGTAGCTCCCATGCCCCCTGCACTTTTAGGGCTCCTTACATAACCCTTGTAGTCTTTTCTAGATTGCTGGTATTTAGGCCCTGGGATTGCCTGTTCCTCCAAGGATCCCTGAGTCATTTTTTGAGGGTAAAATGGCATTCAGTGCATGCAATTGTGGACTCAGCTCTGCTCATTGCTTTTGGGCCTTTTTGTGAATAGAACTAAGAAATACATGTTTTTGAAATAACAGAAATGCCCCATAAGTCAGGTGTGGTGGTGCATACCTGTAATCCCAGCAGTTCGGGAGACTAAAGCAGGAAGATTGCAGATTTGTGGCTAGCCTCAGCAACTTCATGAGACCCTGTTTCAAAATTAAAAGAAAGACAAAAAAAAAGCCAGCTTATATTAAAGTGATGTTTCCAATTCAGATTTCTTTTGCAGGATTTTTACTTTGGTTTTAAACCATGTCTTTTCTGTTACAATGAACATCTTGTTTTTCAATATCATTAGCATAATTGCTTGCTTTACTCTCAAGGGGTTTCAGAATAAATGGTAACAAATTGTGGACTAAAAGTTTGAGATTATTTTGCAGCTTTGTCCTTTAAAAATGTATCCTTGTAGCATGTTTAGGTTTTTTGTTTCCTGTTTTTTTTTTTTTAAACTACTTAAAGGAATTCTTTTCCCTGTATGTTTCTACCACTGATTTGATAGTTAACTCATTTGTTTTGGTTGATTTTTGAATTTTGGGGGAATTGTGCTGCTTTTTTTTTTTCCTTTTTTGGGTTGGTACCAACAATTGAACTCAGGGGTACATGACCACTCAGCCACATCCCCAGAACTTTTTTATATTCTGTTTAGAGACAGAGTCTCACTGAGTTGTTTAGGGTCTAAGTTGCTGAGGCTGGCTTTGAACTTGGGATCCTCCTGTTTCAACCTCCTGAGCTGCTGGGATTATAGGTATGTGCCACCACTCTGTTTTATCTTTTCAGTGGTGAAAGATTTACATGTTTTCATGGTAAAGACTAGTAGGTTTGGAAAAGGCTCATTTCCAGCCCATTTACTCTTTTATTGTTTACCCATGATTTTGTTTTATTTTTCCAGTATTTCTTTTTGACAGATTTAAGTGATTTGGATTTCCCAGGTCTTACACAAAAGGCAGCACTTAGTAACAGAGTACATAGTTGATGGTATTTTATAAGGAGTGTGCAGTCTTCTCCCACTCTCTGAGGCTTACTCCATGGCATATTTTTGAGCCTCTGTGCAAGCAAGACTTGCACATGTCAAGCATGTGTTCAGAGTCTTAAGCTTGTATATGTGTGTTTTTGTTGTGCCAGGGATCACACCTGGGGCCTCATACATGTTAAGCACATGCTGTACCACTAGGCTACCCTCTCAGATGCCTTGAGCCTTTTTTTTTTTTAATATATACTTTTTAGTTGTTGACGGACCTTTATTTTATTTATTTATATGTGGTGCTGAGAATCAAACCCAGTGGCTCACAGATTTGAGACTAGCGCTCTACCAATCCCAGCCCTCAAGCTTTTTTTTTAATGCTTTCATTTTCTCATCTGTGATCTGGGCATATCAGCAGCACTAGATAGCTGGGGTAATTAAAAGCATCGATATATGTATAGTCTTTAGAGAAGTGTTGTCAGGGGTGAGTGTCTTGAGTGTTGGCTGCTCTTGTTATGGAGTTATTTTTTTAATATTTTGTGGGGGGTTATAAATGGATATAGTACCTTCCTTTTATTTATTTATTTTTATATGGTGCTGAGGATCAAACCCAGTGCCTAACATATGCCAGGCAAGCACTCTTCCCCTGAGCCACAACCCCAGCCTCTATGGTATTATTGTTTATGGTCTTATAATAACAGACTTGGGTGTAGCCTAGACACTTTAAATTTTGATAATGAGCAGAGGAGTTGGAGGGAAGATAAGGTAGTAGTTACCTGCCCTTGCCCTTTTTTCTGGGACCATTATGACAAATAGGGTGCTTTGGATCAAGGGAGTACCATTATCTCTCTGTCTGGACAGGGACTGGAAATTCTCACCCGTAGGGAGATAAGTTAGGTACCATCATTCACAGCAGAAAATAAGCAGCTGGGGCCGTAAAAGATAGCCCAGCCCTGCGGGATCAGCAGTGCAATATCAGATGCTAGAACTGACCCATAGACTTAGCTCCACATATTCTTGGGTGACTTGCTTTTGGGAGAACATAAAAAATGTGTTTCATCCATTAGAAAGTTTCTTTACCATCAGGGTGACTTACTGACCCTTTTTCACACAAGGCATCTGTTGTCCTCTACCCAGCCTCAAATTTGCAGAGCTGGACTAGACCTTGATGGCTTCCCAGGTCTGGGCCAGGAGTGGCAGGTGGAAGTAGGCACTGTAGCATGGTAACATCTACTCATCTGACTACTGGCAGTGGGTGTAACTAGGATCTGCTTCTGTGCAGAAGGCATTAGGGACATGCTCTTGAGCATCGTTTCTCATGTCTTATATCTACGTAAACCTGTTTTTCTTTCATGATAATAGAGAAAACTCAACAGATTCTTTCAAGGTATGGCAGACCTACAAGGTAGTCCAGTCCCCTAATGAGAGGTCAGATGTGGACTGGCTGACTTCGAAGTTCTCTCCCCCTAGACCTGACTGCCTCGTTTCCATTCCCGGGTTTCCTTTGGCTCCTACAGTTCTATTGCTTCCACTTCCCAGGTCTTTCAGTACGTGGCATTGGTAGGCAACTGAGTATGTATGGGGGTCCCTTCTACCCCTAGCTGTTGTCTTTCCTACTAGAAATTATTGGGGCCATTAAAAGTTGGAGTACTGACAGAACCCCCTGAGGCTCTCTATGCTCCAGCAGTGCCTTCTTTTACCTTCATCTCCTCAGCAATTCCTCCCAGCTTCTTTCCACTGGTCCTTTTCTCCTTCCTGTTGTCCTGTTCTAATTACCCTAGCTGAAAAATAGCAGTGGGGTGGAGTGTGGAAATAGGTGAAGAGTGATAATGATGTAAATACAATATCTTTAGGTTTTAACCCACACCCAATTCATGTTTATTTTCTTGTCCCTTTTCTCTGCTGTCTTCTGTCTAGTGGACCCTCAGCACCACAGTGACTTAGGAGGATGATTGTGCAGCAGCATAGGAATAAGAGCTTCCCCCTTCTGGGCTGCCTTGTTAGAAGGATGGGTATTTCTAATGGAGAAGAAGCATGCTTCTCTGAAATAAGATTTTAACTCAGACATCCTTCTCGGTAGTGATTTCCCAGAATACCCTTGAGTGCCCACAGGACAGTTAGTGGAAGGCAGGCCCTTCTGGGCAGTTCCAGAAATGTGGCAGCTTAGGCAGGGCCTTGGCAGTCAGTGGCTTTTACCTGACACCTTTGAGTAGCATTTTGCTCCCTCCCTTGCCTGTGTAGCTAGCAGTGAAACATGGATTCCCAGCAGGCACAGCCAGGGGTGCCCCATGCAGATTTGTGTGCACATACCACATCAGCAAGGGAAAGGCAGCAACAGGCTGGTCATTAAAAACAAAAGCTCTTCCATACCAGTAGTGTAAAGACAGCAGTAGCCTGTACACTTCTGCTTCTGATAGGCCTTGACCTTAGGACACCTTCTTGTCCTCTCTGGACCTGATTTTGCCCTCTGTGACAAGAAGGGACTTGAGGTGACTCTCAGCTGAATGATTTTTCCATTTGTTTGGAGGAGCTGCCTTTTGAAGGCTCTCTGTACCTTTCTTTCTTTGTTTCTTTGTGCCTTTTATCAGCAGCAGAGCAGAGCACTGACAGCTCTCCTCTGAGAGATGGATTCCAGAGGAGGCTGAGCTGGGCTGAATGACTGCAGCCATCTCAGTTGGCCCCAGAGGCCAGCAGCCTTGAAGGAAGAACCTCTGGTTGGCCAGGGTTGAGGGGGTGGGATGGAAGAGTCACATGGCTATGCTTCTCCATTTGGGATTTAAACTGCTTCCTGTTTTTACTTTTAGGACGAATACCTTTCCCTCGTGGCCAGGCTCATTATCCATTTTCGAGATATTCGTAAGTAAGATTTCACATTTTCTGGTTTGTTATCACTGTGAGAGGCAAGTTCTATTGCTATCTGTTGGCGGCTCTCTGGGTGGATCTCGGTGTCTGAGTTGGAACATCTGTGTCAGCTTGTCTGCTTCTGGGAAATTCCTCACTGCATAGCATTTGATTCCAAATTCTCCATCCTCCCAGAGCCTGAGTCTCAAAAATGCTGATTCTGACATGGAAATGTTGGCCTAAAAGTGGTCTGTACTGTACTTCTGTTTTCACTTGTGTACTTGATCTCTGTTTTTATAGAAAGCTTTACACTCTGTGCAATTTAAATAAGCCATTTATCCTGGAACAGATGACATGCTTTCTTCCTTAATAATTTGCTTTATTCACCTATGTAGGCCTGATATAAATGTGTGTTTCTGTGACTTGAAGCTTCTGGGTCATCCTTCTAAGTCCCCACTCCTTGTTCCCTGCTATGTGGAGGGTTCCTTCACCTCATGTTGTGTCCCCCTGGCTTAGGGAATTCTGTTGTTCTCTCAGACTGACCAGGCAGTGGCCCCAGTTCTTAAATAGTTTTCAAGACATCCTGAGACAGATTTTTTGCGTGTGTGTACTTTCGTATGTTATGTGGAATCATGTGGACCTTGAGTGTTCCTGGGTGATGGTCGCCTCTGAAGGAAACTGATGCAGTTCGCTACTCTGGGCTCCAGCCAGCAGCCTTCCTACCCACCCTGGTTGTGTAAGCACCGGAGAGGTCAGAACTGTTTCATTTTGGTTTAGTGGCAGTCAGAATATAGGCTCTAGAAGTAGGTGCAGCTTTAGTTTCAGTCGATGAGGGCAGAGAGAGATAATGGAGAATCCCTGAGCTCTGTAGGGTTTGCTGCTTTCCACACTAACCTTTTACTAGAATGGTCACCAAGGTGGACTTCATGGGATTTCACTTTCTCTGGGGAATTTGGGAAGAACTTGGGAAAAGTAGAAGAGAAGGAACTAAAAGTCTGAGGAATAGGCAACTGAATGTCCTGAAATGAACATTCCTACCCTATGCTGTGCTCATCAGAACCTTGACCTAGTGACATATGGCTATATGGGTGTTCTGGACTCATATGGAAAGGCTGAGGAGGAAGCTTAGGGCTACCAGGTATCAGAGAAATTCTCCCCCATGTGCTGGGGCTAGCTAGATCAGTCAGTCTTGGGCAGCCTCAGTTCCTTCACCTAGGAAATGGAGATCTTCTTCATCAGAGTGATCTGAAAATGGAGGTATTATGAATTCTCAGGACTATTCTGGCTAGATCTTTCATGGTTTCTTGGTGTCCTCTTACAGTTTGTGCCTCAGGGCCTGAGAAGGAAGGAAAAGCAGAGTAGGCCCAAGGTACCTGAGACTTGGACATTTCCCAAAGGCCACAGGTGAACCTCCAAGTGGTGCCCTTTGCCCCCAGACCTCTTGCGTGTCCAGTCTGTCAGGAACTGACACCTCCTCCTGCGGTTGCCAAAACCAGTGGCTTCTTGGGGTTGTCTCTCTGAGATCTGTTTGCCTCGTTTCTAGGCAGGGTCAGTTCAGTTTTAGCAAATAACCTCTGGTCAAATGCCTACAAAGCTGACTTATCCCTGAAAATATGTGTTTATATAAGTTTGTTTACTTTGTTTTTCTGCTTGTGTTTTTTTTTTTATATATAGAAAACAAGAAATCTCAAGCTTCTGTCAGTGGTAAGAGTTTTTTCTTTTAAAATAAAGTCTTTCCCAACCTAAGATTTGGGGTGACAGGAATAAGATGGTGCATGCTTTGTGTGCATTTTCTGAGGAGAATGTTCAAAAGATCTCTAGCAGAGTGGAGGCTGAGTAGTCATGACTCAACCTCTCCTTCACTTTTCATTTTCTTGCAAACTGAAATCAGATGATGCCTCTCTGTCCAGGTTCATCCACCAAAAAGATTATAAAAACTCACAAAGTTCTTACTGTCTAAAAATACTGAGCTCCCTAAGAGAAAACTATAATCTGTAGAAGTATGTTTTAGATAATAGCTGTAAATTCATTTCCCTTAAGTTATATAAGATTTCTTTACAAGTTCAGAAATGTTTCTATTTTAATTTCAGGGTTTTATCACATAAGGGGAATTTTGGCAGTTGAGCTGTGGTCTCTGCTGACTGAGCTGCCAGTGAAGGGATTGAGCAAATCCATGCTGGCCAGCTGATCTCTAACCTGTCAGAAAGTATATGGGTTGAATCACTCTAGACAGCAGAGCTAAAATTGCCAGGTACCCTACCTCTCTGGGCCCTGTCTCAACCAGGACAGTGATTCTCAGACAATGGAGCCAGTTGGGATCAAGAACATGTGGCCTGGACTCTGGCTTTGATGTGTGGAGTCTTTAGGCACCACCCACTTCTGTGGCAGGGTGATCCAGGCAGGTCATACCTGTCTGCAGTAACCTTTTGCCATGAGTCCACACTGTTGTAATGATGGGTCAGCCTTCTTGTCTTTGATTGTGGCATTGCTCACTGAGCTGTGCTGCTCTGAGAGCTCTTCCCCTCAGCTCTCCGTGGAGCCCTCCTACACCTCTTAGTCTGCTCTGGTGTGCTGTTCTTGCCGCGGGACTGGCCTGGGGCAGTGTCCTGCAGAGACTTGGCAGCAGAGGTTGGGCACTGATGTGTCGGCATACTTGTACCCTCGCTGGGGAGTGTCTATCTAGCCCCTTCTACTTTTCTGATCTAGCCATCCTATTCCCACCTGCTAAGAAGTAAGTCCTCAGATTTTGTTGTCTCTGGAAGTCCCTCCTGGTTGTCATCTGCCCTCAAGGCCTCAGCCTGTTTTCACATTAGCTGCAGGCATCAGAGTGGTCCCTTTTTTTTTTTTTTCTTTTTTTTTAGGTGTAGATGGACACAACACAATACCTTTATTTTTATGTGGTTCTGAGGATCAAACCCAGGCCCCTCCCATACTAGGCAAGCGCTCTACCACTAAGCCACAATCCCAGCCCCCAGAGTGGACCCTGGGACCCTGGCATAGGAGTGAGGAGCATGCTTCCTCCTTTCAAGGGTCTCTCATTCCAGCAGTAGTGACTGATACACCCAGAGTTCTCAGCATTTGGGAGGCTCCAGGACCCTGGCTTTCACCATTTGAGGCTTTGTGGGGCTAAAGCATATATATAGATGGGAGGAGGTCTGTGCCCCTTGAGCCTGCCCAATTCAGGGGCACTTTCCTGAGTTGCTACTGCCTTGTGTTCCCATAGACCCTATGAATGCCCTGCAGAGCCTGACTGGAGGACCTGGTACAGGAGCAGCCGGAATCAGCATGCCTCCTCGGGGCCCAGGACAGTCCCTGGGTGGGATGAGTAGCCTTGGTGCCATGGGGCAGTCAATGGCACTCTCAGGGCAGCCGCCACCTGGGACCTCAGGGATGGCCCCTCATGGAATGGCTGTGGTGTCTACAGCACCTCCTCAGAGTGAGTACCATACTTCCTAGAGAATTTGCAACTTTCTTTGCAGATAACACTGCATTTTACTCCTTTGCTTATGATGATATTAAGAAAAAGAGAAGTCACAAACAACTTGGTCCTTTTGTCTATATTGGGTATGGAGAGAAAAACTCCAAACCCTTTTTGAGCTACCAGAAGGGTTAAGTGATACTAGGTCCTTCTCCTAACCCTGGACAGGAGGAAGGATACTTGTAGGAGGTTGAGGAGGGCCTGGGACAACATCCAAAGAGTTGTTTTGTCATTGAAATAGAAACGTATGTTTCAGGGGGTTCTCAGCTATGGAGCAGTGCCATGTCAGCACCCCACCACCCCAGTCTGACAAGGGCTGTCTTTTCTAGTGCTGCTCTTGTACCTCAGTCAGTCCTGGCTGGTGGCTCACAGCCACATCTTCACTGGGCTCCCCTTCCTTGAAGAGGGTGCTTTGTCCTCTTTGCATCACTCTGTGGGATATGCCCCTGGTTCTTGTATGCAGCTGCTTTGGGGTGGGGAATCAGAGGACAAAGCACCTTTTCCTTCTGCTTTCCAGGATCCTTTTTGGTGTCCTCCTGATTCCCGTAGACTTTGATTCAGTACTTATAATGCACTGTGTCCACTGGAAAGTGCTTTAGTATTCCCCCCCGCCCTTTATGTAACTTTTTATTTTTGAAATAGTTTATCAGTCACAGGAAATTATAGACTAGCACAGAGAGTTCTCATGTGTCCTTCACTCAGTGTCTCCAGTGATAATGTTTTTAAAATTTTTATTAGTTATTTTTGGATCTTTATTTATTTGTTTATATGTGGTGCTGAGACTCGAACCCAGTGCCTCACACATGCCAGACAAGTACTCTACCCCAGCCCAGTGATAATATCTTAATTAGTATATTATCCAAAGTGAGAAATAGCACAGGGCTAGAAATAGTACAAGTTGAGATTTTCATTCAGACTTCACCAGGTTTTTTTTTTATTTTTTTGTTTTCCAGTTCATTTTTAAAATTTTATTATTTTTTTATTTATATATAAGAGCAGAATGCATTACAATTCTTTTTTTTAATTTTTATTTTTTTTTAGTCATACGTGACAGCAGAATGTATTTTGACATATAATAAATACATACATGGAATGTACATACATCAATCAATGTCTATTCTATTCTGCTGCCCTTCCTATCCTCCCTACTCCTCCCCTCTTCTCCCATCTTTTCTCTCTATCCAATCTAATGTGACACACTTTTTTTTCTTTTTCTCATATAACATTATATATGTATTCTGTATAACAATGAGGTTCTCCTTCCATCTTCTGTGCAACTCCCCTTCTCCCTCTTTTTCCCTCCCACCTTTCTTCCCTATTAAGTGGTAGTCTTCTTCTCATGCTCTTCCTCCCTATCCCATTTTGAGTCATCCCCCTTATATCAGAGAAGACATTCGGCATTTGTTTTTTAGGGATTGGCTAACTTCACTTAGCATAATACTCTAATGCCATCCATTTGCCTGCAAATGCCATGATCTTGTTATTTTTTAGTTCTGAGTAATATTCCATTGTGTATAAATGCCACATATTTTTGATCCATTCATCTATTGAAGGGCATCTAGGTTGGTTCCACATTCTAGCTATTGTGAATTGTGCTGCTAGACTTCACCAGTTTTTATATGCATTCCTGGATGTGCATATAAGAGTATATATAGCTCTGTGAGATTTCTTCACATGTGTAATCAAGCAGCCATCACTGTACACAGTATACAGAACTATTCCATCATCACCAACAAACAAACTCCTATATCATATCTGAGAAATTATATCCTCTCACACAGGGCATGATAGCTCAGACTTATAATCCAAGTGCTCAGAAGGCTGAGGCAGGAGAATCAGATGTTCCAGGCCAGCCTGGGCAACCTAGCAAAACCCTGTTTCAAAGAGGACTAGGGATGTAACTCATTGATGAAGTTTGCCTTATATTTTCAAGGCCCCAGGTTCAGTTCGCTATATTGCTAAGAAAAAGAAAAAAAATTGCACCTTCCCTCTAATCCGTGACAACTACCTATCTTCCTTTCCTCTCTACACTATCACTTTTCAGTTGTAGAAACAGACTTATATGATACATGACTTTTTGAGATTAGCTCTTGTATTCCTCATGATGCCCTTAAAATCCAAGCTGTACCTATAGTTCATTCCTTTAGTTGCTGTGTAGAGTGCCATGGAATGGATGTTTCATAATTATTAAACTTTAAAGGACATCTGGGTAGTTCCAGTTTTGAGCTATTAAAAATAAATATGCTGTGGACATCTGTATATAGGTTTTAGTGTTTGGGTATATTTTTGCCATGTATCTCACAGTAACCCTTTGAGGAGTGCAGAGCAGCTCTCCCTGCTTTGCCAGCGAGGCAGCTATAGCCAAGAACTGGAATTGCACTTGGGCCAAGAACTGGAATGGAAACTTCTCATCACTCACATGCCCCTACCTGTGTCGGGTTTCCTTCTCAGATGCTGCAAGCATCCTCCGTCCTACCTTCCTTGTCATTCCCTCTCTTATCTTCATTCTCTCCTTCTTACTGATTTCTTGCCATCTAACTCTTGGTACATTCCAATCTCATCCTTAGACGATCTCAGCTCTTCAGCACAATCTCCTGATTTCATTCACCTCATATACAAATGGGGTGAGTTTAGGCAAGGATATACAGAAGTTCCAGCACCTTTTACAGTATGATCTGTGTACTGTTTGGATTCCTTTTTAGATTTCTGTTTTATAATAGGAAATGGTTTTTAAATATATGAGTTTGGAGTGCTTACATGGTTTGCCTTATAATCCTAGTCTTTGTCTTGAACCAGTTATTTGTCAGAAATTCAGTGGTGAAGCTCTAGGATCCTGCCCACACCCTCCCTATTCTAACCTTGGCCCACATCCTGTTTTCAGCTTTCACGGGGCCTGGTCTACTGGGTGGCACTAATTGAAAGTTGATGTGTCTTCTTCTGCCGTCCTGTTACTGTTTCTGTCCCTCCCTGCTCTAGACTTCTTACCTCCTTGGCCTACCTGAAATAGGAGTGTTGCCCAATGAACATTTGATATCCCTTCCTGATGGCTTCTGCATACATCACTGCATGATTACTGTCTTTACCCAGTAAAGTCAAAGTGTGGATTTTTCAGGGACTCCCAAAAGGTAGGACAGGGGACACTGTCATTGTCTCCAGGTGACCAAGGTTAACAAGAAAATGCTGAGACTGCTAACTGTTCATATAGGTAGGGGCTGCAGTATAGGGTTGAAAGAAGGACTTTTTCCCCCCACTCTGTGTTTTTGCTCTGTAGCAAGTTTTGTACCATGTGAAAGGGACTTTAAAAATAATTTCTACGGCTGGGGATGTGGCTCAAGTGGTAGCCACATGGTAGCATGTGAGGCACTGGATTCGATTCTCAGCACCACATTAAAAAAAAAAGAGATTGTATGTCCACTTAAAACTAAAAAATTAAAAAAATAATAATAATTTCTAGCTGGACATAGTGGCACATGCCTGTAATCCCAGTGGCTCAGAAGACTGAGGCAGGAAGATTATGAGTTCAAAGCCAGCAAGGCTCTAAGCAACTCAGTGAGACACTATCTCTAAATAAAATATTAAAAAGGGCTGGGGATGTGGCTCAGTGGTAGAGCCCCCTGGGTTCATTTCCCAACACTTCAAATAACAAAACAAAAATAACTTCTACTTCTGGCTATGTGACAGACTGGGTATTGAAGACCCCTTCTCCTGAATACCTAGATCCTGATTAGGCTATACTTTGGAAGGCTAAATGTCGCTCACTGCTAGATGGGGAAAGCAAGTCTAGAATTCCTCTCTCCAGCTAGGATTTGTTCTGGAGCCTGTGGAACCCCCCAGCTGCCCTAGAGTCATCTTAGATTGCAGGAAAACACCTCCAATTTAAGCCTGTGAGAATTGCACAGATTAAGGTAATGTAGTGAGCACATAATCAAAAATGACCAGGTAGGAGAGGAAGCAGAGACACCATAAGGGAGAACAAAGATAATAAACAGATGTATAAGCTCTCAGGATCCACACCAGAAAATTGTTACATATGTACTGTCCACTCCACATGAATAAAGAAATAATGTGGACATGGTAGCGAAAGTCTATAATTCCATCAATTTGGGAGGCTGAGACAAAAGAATCTCAAGTTGAGGCCAGTCTCAGCAATTTAGTAGAGCCCTATGCAACTTAGATTCTGTCTCAAAATTTAAAATAAGGGCTGGGGACAGCAGAATAAAATACACATTATTATTGCTGTGGGTATATACATGACTGCATGACCAATGTGATTCTGCAACCTGTACATTCAGAAAAATGAGAAATTGTATCCCATCTGATTCAAATGTATGATATGTCAAGATCATTGTACTGTCATGTGTAACTAATTAAAACAAATTTTTAAAAAATCCCTAATAGCACTACAAAGGCCATCAGTTAGCTATTGCTGTGTTAAAAAAAAAAAAAAAGGCACCCCAAACTTTGTGTACCAATCATTTATTTATTTGGAGTTCTTCAAGTTTATTAATGGACTCTGGTTTTGAATGGGACCTTTGATGCATTTATGCTCAATAGTAAAAAAAAAAAAAAAAGAAGAAGAAGAAGGGCTGGGGATGTAGCTCAGTGGTACACTGCCCTGGGATAAATCCCTAGTACTGAGGAAAAGAAAAGAAATAAAAGATAGGGCATTTTCCCATCAGGAGTGACAAAGGAGATCTGAAAAGGACCCAGTGGAACTTGTAGAAATGAGAAATACAACATTGAAAGAAGAATGTATGGATAAGTGAACAGCAGATTCAATGGAACTGAAGAAAGAATTTGTAAACTAGAAGCTAGATCTGAAGAAATTACCTAGAATGAAGCACAGAGAAGAGGATGAGGAAAATACAAAAGCAAGGGCAAGAAATGTGGAAGATTGGGGCTGAAGTTGTGGCTCAGTGATTGAGCGCTTGCCTAGCATGCATGAGGCACTGTGTTCG